TTTTGTATTGGTACTGACCACAGATTAGCAGTTCAGACCCACCAGCACTTCAAAGGAGAATGATGAAATGTTCTGCAGTCTCTGAAATCTAAATAGACAGTCCAACTCTGTTCTACAGAGTTACCGTGAGTCAGGCTCAACACTGTGGCGGTGGGTTTGGAGGTGGGTGTTGTTGGCCCTGGAAATGTCAGGAGATCTTTATAATACAGATATATATGAAAATACTTACAAGTAGAATAAGAGAACAACTTGCATTGAGTTTTAGTCATTTTGGTAAGGATCATCAGTGGATTCTTTCCAAGCTTCATAGAATCAAGAAAGAATAATTGAAAATTGATATTGCTAGTATTTTTGTTAGTTATAGACAAGGATTGTGAAGCAAAGTAGTTTATTTAAACCTCACATATGAGTTGATAGAACAACAAGCAGAATTTTAAAGGGAATATTTTATATAGACTTGAATTGCAAGTTAATAGATTGAGATTTGATTAATCAATAATGGAAAAAAACACTAGAAAATGTGCAATTATTAGGAGTGGATATAACTTTACCAGGAAGTATAATATAGGAAAATGATACCAAGGGACTATAGAAATGAACTAGATAGCAACTAAAGAATACATGAAACAAACTTCAGACGCAGATAATATAATGCAATCAATATTGACAAGATATTGCACTTAAGATAAGATGATAAAGGTGCTTAAAGGTTATAGTATGAAAGTTTCATGTAAGTAGATCTAATTGCTACAATAAAATATATACTTCTATCAAGGTAAATAATTTATCTCTGTTGAGAAGAAATTTCCACAGTGTATGTCATTTATTTTTTTAAAAAACATTAACATTCATTCTGGCTAGGAAGTTCTAGTTCTTCTCATGTGCCATTGAATTAAAATTTATATAAAATTATGCAATGTAAAATTATGAAGAATTAAAGATTAGGAGAGATATAAGGTAATAAACAAAAGAGGAAAGAGAAAGCTATAGATTAAATTGTGCAAATATGCTTTAAGACTATTTGAAAAGAGCTGTTCTCAAGCTATGCTTAGGTATCCACTGGATGTTTCCTAAAATGTATGTTAGTCAAAAATAAGTATACCTAGTACTAGGATTTTCTGTTATATCTTATTTAATATAAAATAAATAAAGAATTTGGATACTATATATCGAAATTTTAAAAAACCTTCAATATATAAGGGGTACCCCATAAAAAGAGTGATAAAAGTTTTGGAGTATACATTTTCTCCTCTAGGCTAGCATCAAGCAACTTGCTCTGAGTTAGTTCACCCAGTGGCATCGTCTGGGAAGGTTCTCTCTAGTCATGGCAAATTTTTTTTTGTAAAAGCAGTTTCATTTGAACCTCGTTTTTTTCTGTGTGTGTGTGGTGGTGGTGGAATTAAGAGAACAGCGTGCAGCTGTGGAACTTTGTTTCCTGCTCAGGAAAAGTTCGGCAGAAGCTCTTGTGATGTTGAACAAGGCTTACAAGGACAACGTTATGGGAAAAACTCACGTGTTTAAATTGTGTTATTATTTCAAAAAAGGTGAAAGACTGATTGATGACAAACCTCATTCTTGATGTTTGTCACCTTCCTGAAGGGATGAAAATGTCGACAAAATCCGTGCACTTCTGCTTGAAGACCTACAACAGACCACTGCAGAGATAGGGAAGTTATCTAGACTATCTTGGAGCTTGGTTCAGCGAATTTTAACTGTAGATTTGGAAATGAGAAGGGTCTTTGTGAAATTTGTGTCTTGGGTTCTGACTAACCAGGAAAAAAAGAGTGCTCAGTGGAAACATGCCATGCTTTGAAAGAACAAACAGCTCCGAAGCGACCCAGACGTTTTTTTCCAAGGTCATTCATTACTGGTGATAAGACATGGTGCTATTCTTAGGACCCTGAAACTAAACATCAAGCAAGCCAGTGGAAGACACCACTGTCATCTCACCCCCAAAATGCTCTTCCAGTGAAATCAAAGATCAAGACAATGTTCTTTTTCTTTTTTTTTAATGGGAGAGGGATAGTA